AGGGAGAGGCAGGTCAGGTCACTACCTTACCTCGAAATCTTTGTATTCACTATATATACCCTCAGAACAGTGCTTTACTCATGGTAAGTACTGCATAGGTATTTAATTCATCAAATAGAATATGGGATAGTTATTATGTGATAGCTATACTCCACAATCACAGAATGATATAGTACCAGTCATTAAATAGTCTGCCAGCAGAGGAGATAATTTCAAATGTGGGATGTTTGCTTCAGATTGAATTTCATTTACATGTGCTAACTTACCACAATTGACTGCATGTCGTCAATATCAAATGATTTGATGTGGGTATTCCAATTCATCAGTCACTCATGATTCATTAAAATGGGTAATGTTAAAGATAATGGAGATGTTGGTAAAAATTTCCACCTAACATAGATTTACCAATGATTGGAATATTATGGAGTGATTGAATTATGATTTCTATTTCTATGTCCAGGAAAGCGTGCAGGTAGAAATATAAATCTGATCATGTTGGCGGAGGAGAGGAAAGTGGAGTCAATAGCAGCAGAATAGTAGTGCAGTGAATGGGCATGGCAAAATAGAAGCTGTCAGATGTCAAAACTTCAGCTGATTGCACAATTATCGCCTAAGAACACAAGTTTACCATCTGTGACTCTGTGGTTTCAAATTATAAACACCATACTTATGACCAAAGGGAAAATGCAGTTTTGCTCAAGGATCATCATTCTAATTAAATGATCTAGGCACCATATCAGAGTGAAATTGCTATTACAGTTTCTCTGAGCTGGATTTATTTAAATTTTTTTTTCAAGTGCATCGATTTGAGAGACCTATGTGTAGCTTTTTAAAACCTTAAGCAAAGTCTATTCCTTAAAATTAAGTTGTGTGTTCTACCAGGTTTCCAAAATTTCAACTTTCCTTTCAGTTGAATTTCTATATTTTGTAAGTTCCATTTTAGCAAATACACATAGTTTTATTTTGTTCTCAAATTGTTGTAAATGGTGAATAAATTTTAGGTCTGTTTATACAAAGGGGTCATCAATATCCTCATAAAAAGAATAGGGGGCTCATTCACAAAGAAGAAACATAAACTATTAGAGAGCAGTACCTGGTCCTGGTTCCTCCAAAATATTTTTTCCTATTTTGACAAGAATCACCAAAAAAAGGAGAGAGAAAATTAATTCTCTTGCATTATTTAAATGCAGTTAAAGAAGACCATTAGCTACTTTAGTTTATTTTTTATTTATTTTTTTTCTGACACTGATCGTTTGACCATTGATGCAACTTGCTAAAACTCAATCTGACAGAAATTCCAGGGATAAGGAGGCAAGTCAAGTTAAGATAGTCATCAAAATAACTATAGCACTAAGAGATGTTTCTGGAGGAAATGTATTCTCAGTAAGTTTCTGATTTTCAGAATTTCAAGTTTCAGAAAATTTATTAAATTCAATTACAGTAAAACCTTGGACTGTGAGTACCTTGTTCTGCAAGTGTTCCACAAAACGAGCATACATTTCTAGTACATTTTAACTTGATAAAAGAGCAATGTCTTGCAATATGAGTAGTACCTGATGCTGAGTGCCACATGATCACAGCTGAGCCAATGGTTCTTGAAATTTGCTTTAATATACAGGTGCTTTGGATTACAAGCATGTTTCTGGAACAAATTATGCTTGCAAACCAAGGTTTTATTTTAGTCCTTAATTTAGAGACCTAAAGTAGAAATACTGAAAAAGAAATAAAATATCCCATCGTTTATTTTCATTTTATTGTTATTTTTTTCAGTTTACTTATTTATTGTGAGGGAGAAATAGCACGAGTGGGGTAGGGGCAAGAGAGAGAGAGAGAGAGAGAGAGAGAGAGAGAGAGAGAGAATTCCAAGCAGGCTCCATGCTGTCAGTGCATAGATCGATGCAGGACTTGAACTCACAAACCATTAGAACATGACCCGAGACAAGATCAAGAGTCAGATGCTCAACCTACTAAGCTACCCAGGCACCCCACCCACCTTTTAAGATATGCTTTTGCATATACACCTCCTGATATTTTGCTCTGGATAAGATTTTGACAATAAAGCTATATTTATTTTTTTTTCAAATTCCTAAAGTAATAATGAGCAAAAATGTTGCATATAAGTTAATTCAGGAAAAATGAAATGTTTACAGGCTATTTCCCCATACACTGGCAAACACATTTTGTATTAAACTAGATTATATTTTCTATTGCTTACTGGACACTCTCTAATAGCTGGTAACACATGAGAAATAGAAATATAAAAATGTATGCTGATTATTTATCCCTTAACTCTGTAAAGCACTCTAGAATTTGCTTGATGTGTTTACTTATAGTGTATATGTTACCTTAGATAAAACATTCAGAGAAATGCATTCATATCACTTTTCCACCTTGAGGGGGAAAACTGACTCAGAGATATAAAGAATTCACTGACAGTGTTACCAAGACTGTTGGAACTAAGATAATTTGATCATATCCAATGGGACTTTTGTGCCAACTCATACCAGACACAAGAAGTCCCAGGACTTAGCCTCGTTATGTACTTTCTTACCTGTGATTCTAGAATCTTCTCTCGCCTGAGCCAGCTACGTCAGAGTGAGCTGAGCCATAAGTCACATTACTGACAAATTTCCTTATGTTCCAAGGAGTGATTGCTGTTCAGAGTCAATTGGTGACCATGCATGCTGCTTGGTGGTTTCAGAGGCCAGATATCTGGGCCTCCAAGACTCTTCTGGAAAAAGTCCTAGTGGCAGTTCTTGACTTTACAGTGAATATATTTTGAAACACATTGTTTATATTTGATAAGATTGGTCATTCTGTAGATGATTGATGAGGGATGATAAATTCTTGTTTTATTTAATTGTTCAAATGTACTCTGAAAGTATGTGTTTTATAATGACTTAGACCTCAATTTTGTGAGTGATTCTTATTTTGCCATAAGTCTTTGCATATAATGGGATTAAATACAGAAATAAGATGATTCATTTAAAGCTCAGTGATGCACTGAAAAGAAGATAGATTCATTGCAAAAGAGTCTATCTTGGAGTCTTGGTCTTTCAACTTCTTGGTTTGTGATCTTGAGGAATTTGACTAACAACACTGAGCCTGTTTTTTTGTTTTTTGTTTTTTTCTACCAAGAAAATGGGTATAATAATCCATAACCTAGTGGTTTTGTCAGAAGTAAATGAAGAGAATGTCTGCTATGATATCAGAAATATGGCATTTAATAGGTGTGTATTTTTTTTATTCAATAGCAGAAAAAATTAGGTGAAAAATGAAAGATAATCAGCTACTCAGATAACAAGGGGTGGAAAAACACAAAAAACTTCCATGCTGTTCTGCCATCTTGGCTCCTCCTCAGTGGGTGGAAAAACAATGTCTTGCCTATGGTAAGTTAAATAAGCATTTGCTGTCTGAGCTGTTGTCTAAAATGCTTTGGAACCAAAAGCAAACAGCCCAAGAATCTAGAATGTCTGTGTAATGTTTGTGTCATCAGTCTTATCTTTTTAATTCATGTCATAGGTTCCTTTCTCTATGCCATGAGAAATACTCCATGAAATCAACAGGAAAGCTGGCCTGAACAGTGTTTCAATTATAAGAAATGTGTGTAGGGCACATGGGTGACTCAGTCAGTTAAGCAACTGACTTTGGCTCAGGTCATGATCTCACAGTTCATAGTTTAATTCCCTCGTTGGGCTATGTGCTGACAGCTCAGAGCCTGGAGCCTGCTTAGGATTCTGTGTATTCATCTCTCTGTGCCTCCCCCATTCGTGTTCTCACTTTCTCTCTTAAAAATAAACGAATGTTAAGAGAAAAAATTAAAAAAAAGAAATATTTATAAAATCTTTAGACAAGTGCTGAGTGACAAATATCATAACCACACTACAGATACAGCTATATGTCTAAACAAAAATTCAATTTAAATTTCTAGAAAAAAGTACAAATTATATATCTAATATTATATCATGTGTAATATGGGAGGTCAACTTAAATTTCAAGCCAAAAATCTGAATGAAAATAAGTTTTATATTGAAGGAGTTTAGTCTTCAAAATATACTGTAGTAATAGCAGTTTCTCTGAGAGAAAAATGTCTATTTACATTTGAATTACTTATTTGCTTCTTTATTTTATACCAACACATTACAACTTGTGAATTCTAGAAATGTTATTTTACTGACTTTGGTAAAGTGCTGGAATAACTAGGGTTTTCAGTACTTGAAATGAAAATGATTATTCAGAGTATGCTGATTATTGGTTATTAGAATTTAGAAAGAAAAGCAAGACCAAAACATGTTGCTAAGGAAATAAAGGGTTTACTTTCTCCATGAGCTTCTAATCACACTGACTCTTTATGTTTGCCAGAATGTTCTCATATTTAGTTGGGAAATAGTCTATCTGTTTAATAATGATGGTGTCTCTAGGAATGATTTATAAGCACAGGTAATAAAGGTACCACTGCCATTCTGCTGTCGATCACGAAAATACAACTGAATACTAAACATTCTACCTAGTTGGGTTCTCTCTAAAGGCTATTGAAGGGGACCTTCAAATGTTAAAAAACTCTTGGTGAATTTTCCCCAGGTTCTAACAAGCTACATCAAAATAAAACTCATTTCATGGAAAAAAGGAATCCCACAGCACTTCTTTTTAATAACTGTTCAGCTACAAAATTTTATTGGTATCTTTTTATGTTCCCTCTAGAGGATGTAATGCACAAAAGCATTGCCACGGAACATATAAAATTACAAATGAAATTTATTGTAAAAAGTAGAATGTCTTCTAGACTGGTGTCAGTATTTATTTCATTCATAAACCAAAACTGCAGTATAATATATTCATTGTCAGCAAGTTCATGTGTGTAAATTGCCATCCAATGTTATTGACTGATATAAGACAGATATTGAAAAGACAATTTAAATGTACTCTTCCAAACATAAACTGTTCCACAAAAGCACTGTAAAAACTCCTTCAAGATTTTGGGTTGTGCTTGACATTTATGGTTAACTACATAATTTGGTCGTGTCATAATCCACCGTGTTTGGCAATTTGGCATTAAACGCCTGCAGAGCAGATTGGATCCTCACCACCTCACTGGTAGACAGCTTGAGTCTATGACGAAGCAAGCAAGAGAAAAGATCTAGACGACGCTGACCAGGTGGGGAGAGTTTATTTACACGGTCTCTTATCTCTAGAAGTTGCAAAAGTGCTGAGTCCTGGGATCCCTGAGTATAGGGGTAGTCCAGCTGCAAAATCAAGTCCCGAATTGCTTCAGGGTCAAAGTGCATGCTGTAACCAAACACTTGAATGTTATTGATTTTCATATAACCCAGGTTCCGGGAAGGGTCAATGAATTCCAGAGGTTCGTAGTAAATGCTCTCATTGCCATTGGGGCCGTTTGACTTGATGCGACTCCTCAGGTAGATGTGCACTGTCTCAAAAAATGTCTTCCACTTGTTCCCCAGAGTCAGCGACCAGTTGTAACACTGCAGTGGGAGGTCCAGCTTAGTCCGCTCCCAGTCTGGAAAGCTGTTTTCATTCACAGGCATAAACCAGCTCTCTGAGTGGCTGCCTCCGAAGGGATTGACGTAAACAGCCAACACTGGCTCCAGGGTGCTGTTTTTAGTTAAGCAAATCTGTAAGGAGAGACCCAAGATCATGTGGACCAGACTTGACTTGTACTTGTTGCTCTTCAAGGTGAGGAGCATCCGCTTGCGCCAGGAGGGGTCGAACCAACTATTGAGGCGCATGTCGTTGCTGATAAAAATGGCATGGACTTCTATTCGTCTGTCCGTTTTCTGCAACAGGTATTTCATCTCGAGGTCCTGCAGGTCGGTCTCGAAGCCGATGTAGTGGTCGGTGGACTCGGCGACCTCCGGCTTGCAGAGCCCCTGGCTCAGCATGTAGCCGGTGTTGCAGGTGCCGCAGCGGGTACGGTTGTCCGGGGCGCAGGTCAGGCAGGCCGAAGCGTCGCCCACCGTGCAGGGCAGGAACGCGGTGCACACCACCTGGTCGTTCGGACACGTGCACGAGTGCGTCTCTTCCGAAAAGCTGCCCAGGAGGCCGTTCTCGTTGCAGTAGAGAAAAGACTGGATGCGAGTGAGCCAGTAGGTTGAGGTTCTAGAAACACAAAACAGCACGGCTCCGTGTAAATACAAAGACATGTTCTTTGTGTACCGCAACAAAGTTAACCTTAGCTCTGAAAGCTTTATCGTTTCTTCAGGTTATTTCCAGTTACTTAACTGAGGTAAAAGAGCTATACGGCTTATGATTGAAAACGATACATATTTATATAACATTTATATATGTTATATATATTTATACTGTATAATTGTTTCCATTCTTCACTGCACAAGATTAGATCTGGAATAGCCCACGGGATACCTTCCAATGAGATTGCATGCCATTTCACTAGGGTACTCAGAGGCTGACTGTGAACATAATTGGGTCGGTTATTGTTTTGAAATGCTATCCAGCAACAGGAAATAAAAGTGATATTATCGTAAAATATCTACAGTAGAATTACAGCATATACATGAGGACGGCTCATTCATTCACTCTTAGCTTCATAAAGCACTGATGTGGTAGGCAGCTAAATAGAAAGTAAAATAAAAATGAAAGAAAAATAAACAACTCTAAAATGTCAATCAATGTATTTAAATCCCGGGGTGTTATCAACATTGACAGAACAAGTACCCACTGAGAGGGAAAATATTATTAAAACGTGTTTGGCTTTATTGTTACAGGCTGCTTAACAATATTGTTGAAAATATCTCGTTAAAACCAACTACAAGTTGTTTTAATAAGAGTTAAGTGTGCCAGTTTGACGCGTTTGATTAGAATCATTAACATTTTTTTCTTCATGATGCAAATGTCAGATTTTGCTTTTCCCTGTTTTCTCACATTATTCAAACTCTTTTGGTGTGTTTAAAATCTCAGTAAAATAACGAAGTGAAATGTGTGGCCCTGTCATCAGATAAGTCTTTGTTTTTATCATGCTGCTATCTCACACTAGCCATATGATCAGGGAGAAGTTGAAGGGCGTCTATAACCTGTCGTTCTCTCACGTGAAGAGTGGGAATAGTCATGTCTCCCATATTGCATTCTTGGGAAAAATAGGCTCAGACGGTATGCTTGTGTTTCGAATATTGCACAGTGTATCTATCTTTAATATTCTTATGCTTTTCTGGTGTTTGTTATTTAGTACCTATGAGATTTTCAGCGAAATCTATTACACCCGATCCTTTATACCTGTATGCTGCTGCTGTTTAAAGAATTTGTTTATGGAGACGATTGGTAAAGCACAGGTATTAATCTGTGCAAATAATCAATAAAAACAATCTATTAAGATACTCAGAACAGGGGCGCCTGGGTGGCGCAGTCGGTTAAGCGTCCGACTTCAGCCAGGTCACGATCTCGCGGTCCGTGAGTTCGAGCCCCGCGTCAGGCTCTGGGCTGATGGCAGCCGCGTCAGGCTCTGGGCTGATGGCTCAGAGCCTGGAGCCTGTTTCCGACTCTGTGTCTCCCTTTCTCTCTCTGCCCCTCCCCCGTTCATGCTCTGTCTCTCTCTGTCCCAAAAATAAATAAACGTTGAAAAAAAAATTAAAAAAAAAAAAAAGATACTCAGAACAATATTTGAGCTATTTATATTACATAGTCATTTTTGGTCCCTGCCCAGCCTCCCCTTGCTATGCAACACTTACTTTTTTTAAGTGAGTTTTTCTTTGTTTTCCCAAATAAATGACTCCTTTCTTCCCTCTGATAACACTTCTTTTTTTCATGGTACCTTTTTTTTTAATTTTAAATTTTATATTACTGGTACCTACTTGTCCGTACTCTATTTCCTCTGTCAACTATAGTAACCAGCTTGCCAGAACCATGTAGGCCTATTTATCAGTATACAGCACAGTACCAGGTAGCATGCTAGGAGATCACAGCCCGTTAATGTTTACGGAATCTTAAGTCAAATGCACAGATGAATGAAAAGACATTTTCTTCGTAAGTGTAATTTTGAGTGAAATTTAAAGCTCTAAAAAGAACATTTAATTCAATTGTAAAGACTCAGCTAGGAAGTGGAGTTACACAACATACACTTTGACATTTCCACAATTAAATATATGAAAACCCTTTCTTTTCCACCTTTACTAAATGAAACTGTTTGCTATAGACCCAGAAGAAAAGAAGAAAAATAAATAAACCAAACCCAGCCAAAGCATAAAACATTGTCCTCTTAATTATTTCTCACACTGAAAAACACTGACAGGAAAACTGAACCTATTAAATTCACTTTGAACTTTCTCTAGATAATTTAAAAACAAGTTCTCAGAAAAAAAAAAAATCTCCCAGGAGTACACTCAAGAGTTGTGAATGATGTGAGGCTCTTTGGCACTTCATGAGTCAGACATCTATATATGATGCTTCTTGTTTTCTTCCCACAGAAGAAATGTGCAAAAAGCCTCCTTTTGTGGTTTATGAAATCAATTCATTTATTTCTGTATTCAGTCTAGATACATAGAAATTATTACTAATTTTTAATGTGTAGTTACTGATACATATATTTCATCAATTTTCTCTTTCACAGGCCATTAACGTCTCGCCCTATTGACTTCTCTCTATCTCTTTCTTCTCTCCCTTTTCCTTCCTCCCTCCTTCCTGTCTGTCTCTCTCTCCTTCCTTCCTTCTTTCCTTCCCTTCCTCCTTCCTTTCTCTCTCTCTCTGTCTTCTGTAACTCTACTTTTGTCTTTCTAATATAAAGAATATAAAATATATATCCTATCTGGATTGGAAATTATATTTTCTTCCCTGAAACCAAAGCATAAATTCCCTTAGCCAATTCACCTTTCACTGTAAGCTCTAATCATGTTTCCAAATCATAAGGACAAACAAACAAACAAACGAAATAAATGGACCTTAAGGCTAAAGACAGAGCTCACAAAACTAGGGCACTGTAGAAAGAAGCATTTGGACACTTTAGAAAAGCAATGGCTTTTTCAGCTTTCAATCTCCTCCAATCCTTTTCACATCCCCACAGATGCATTACTGAAGGAATGTGTTTCGGCTTTGCGGGTTTCAGCTTGTCATGTATGAATATTGATAACTTGGCACGCTGTCAAAGCTCCCGTACCCTGGGATGGAAGAGTTAGCATGTGGATTTTCTTCTTTTTTGCTTGTCTTTTCTCCCCTACTACCTACCTTTTGACTATTTTACTTTATTTCACAAGTAGGGAATAGATTTTTAAAGGAAAAAGTAATCCTGACCAAATCTAGGCTAAACAAGGAGCCAAAAATAAAGAGAGAAGCCTACCCTGGATTTTTCACTTACCCAAAAAACCACGTAGCTTTATTTTTCCCAGCAAAGTAAAATTTAACTGCTTTTTCTTTACTTTAAACAATTTATGTTATAAATTTATATTTAATATATATTTAATATAAATATAAATTTTAAATTTATTTTAAGTGAGTTTAATGGTTAAATAAATTTATAAATTAATGTAATTAATGTAAAATAAATAAAAATGAAAAGTAGGCTGTATCGAGTATTTTTTTAAACACTTTAAAAAATACCTAAATGTTTAAGCAAAAGAGTACCAATTTTTTTTTTTTTTTTTA